ATGTAAGTGAGGGATGCACCTGGATTTTATTCAGTGATAGGTTATAGAAAGGCTTCTTGTGTAAAAGCAACTGAGTGCTTGTTTGCCCACCAATCTAACCAATCACTGGCCACTCACATGTGTAATTTGCTGCGCTTTATCCATTGCAATGTGAAACCAACCAAACCAAAAGAAAGAGATAAAATGTCACTAAAAATCAGACACTGGTTTGGGCTTTAGAAAGCAAACTAGTTGTGAAAACAGCCTAAGAAGCCTTCGCTGGATTCTCCGAACAAAACACTCACTTTAATAGGACAAATGGGCTAAACTGACATTTTGAATGTGTAAAAGAAAATTTAAGAAAATAGGTTTAAATATCATGGTTCAAATCAAAATTAACAGACCACTAGCTGTTTAGCACGGTCAGTCATGTGCAATTGTGTTATGCCATTTTGGTACAGGCGTAGCAGCATTCAAATACAGTGTTAACACACTTACCTGACTTACACTATTTATGTCTTAGGATTGTCAGTATATTTTTGCAGATTGTGCAAGCTGTGCAGCAGCCGTAGATGGAAAAGGTGGCCAGTTAGTGAAAGTAGAATCTAGGAGCTTCTGAATAAGTGGGCAGTGAGTGTATGTGTGTGTGATGAGCATGTCTGGGGGCCACACACTCTCTCCGATGCGAATCTGGTGCCACTGATGCTGCAGCCTTATCGTCCTTTAGCCTGCAGGGTGTATTGATTTAGAAAAGGAGGAGCTGTCCTACAGGAGCCTGTCACTCACCTTCAGCAGAAATCAGAGTGTGTTGATGAAGTTGTCTCTGTCTGCTCGTCACCTTTCTGCTCTCTTACAGGCATAGAGAAGCACCAAATGCAGTTTCTTGTCCTTCCACTTTAACCCTATATATATTTGCTGCCCTCCCAAAAAAGTAGTATCTTTACAGGGGAGGGCAAAAACGTTCTTTACTTTTAATGTAAGTCAATGGAAAGAGATTTTTTCTGAGGAATTTTGGTGCATTTTTATTGGTCCATTCATCATGAAATTTTCACACAAAGTAAAGAATTGTCAGGACTGCAGATTAGATATAGATGCAATAGATACCACATTTGTGTTTGTATGTATTTTTGGCTTCTCTTTATTTGGACAGTCCACTATCATCCCCTATAGACTGTCTACAGATGTTCAAATTGTTAACAAACTATCTGTTGAGAGTTGATTCTGGGTTAGGGTTAGGATTAGAGCAGGTTTAGAGTTAAAGAACATTACAGTCAACATAGTAGATATATAATTGTATGTAACTTGAATGTAATTTAAGTATCTACAAAGCATCTAAAGTGGAAATAAAGTGTCACCCTATTTTCTATGATTTGAATTTGATAAAAAGTACTTGCACAACTATTATTGCTGCTGTGGACCAACAGCTGGTCTGTTTTCTCTACTGTCCTGTGCTCAATGGTTGTATAGTTGTAGTTATTGTATATATAGAGAAGATGTTTTTGTGTGTAGTGTTTGTATAGTTTGTCTGTGTCTGTTGTATTTATTGTCTGTTGTCTGCAGTGTTGTCTGCTGCTGTTCTGTACCTTTTTGTGGGAAGAAAAGCCATCCTTTTTGTGTTGTTTTGTCAATGCTTCATATCCAAACAAGCAGAAAAAATAAGAAGTGCAAGCTCAAACCTGTCGAAACAGAATTTATCAACCTTGCATCTCCATTGTAGTTGTGTTTCTTGTTTCTACATAATTTGAGAATATCTGCTGTCCTTTACATTGTTTCCAAATTTCCTGACCAACGTAAACAGTCACAATAGGCTTAGAATAAAATATTGTTACATTAACTTACATTGACAGTTAAGAATGATTTTCCTTCTTCAGATACAGGGTTTTGTTCCAACAGCGACGAAATGTAATTCATGGTGTAATAACTATGTAATGGGCTATGTGATTCATGTAATTATATCTGAATCGCATGGCAAAACAGAGGAATAACTCCCAACTTCTTAGCGTTCAATAAATGATAGCCTTTTTGAAGCCTTTCCTCTCCCTGTATGACAGGCATTGACTTTTACAGTAAACATGGTTAGTCAGTCGAGCAGAGATGAATGCTGGAAGCTCCCTTCATCGCTTTTTCCGCTGGGTGATTCCGAGCAGGTGTACAGTAATAAGAGTGATACAGTATCAGGCCCTGTACAGTCACTTTCATTAGTACGGGATTATCCTGATTAGCTGCAGCCATATTCCCACTGATAATGAAGCCCAATTACTTCTGGTGTTCGCTCAGCAATTGGAACAGTGGGAGACGGATTTTACAAGACCAGTTTGAGCTCCTTAATGTGATACAGCAGATGATACCAACATATTCGCATTACTGGACCTTTATCCCACTGATGAGCACTTAACTTCAATGATCTTCTTTGGAACAATGTGTTCGTTGGCAGTTTTACTTCAGGATTTACCAGCTTGAGGGAAAAAAGGAGAAAAATGCTGAAATTTCCTGCTTGATTATACTACAATGCTCAATTCAGACTAACTAACACTAATGCATTTCCTCTTAAAGCAATATGTCCTTTTCACAAAAAAACGAAGTGCATAAACGCTGAGTAAAACACGTTCAGGTATTGCCTTATGAACAGTGACTAACCTCAGAAATACAGGCATTCGTATCACTTCAGCTCACCACAGAAAGGTCTCTCACTTTATCTTTGTCATAGTTGCCAAGATTGGAATACGAGGATGTGTCCAGAACTGTTGCTAAATAAAGGATATAAATGATTTGTGGAAAAACACCTTCACAGCTATCAGAGTACAATAATGTCAGCTAACATAGAGTCACAAATCAATGGACAGGTGAAAATAACTATAACCAAAATGCTAGATTAGCCATGTTAGCTGCAGATGTTGAAACAGCTCACTAACAATAACCTAGCAGGCAAAAAGCTAAACACGCACACATGCCAGCAAGGGGGTGTGTTGGTCAGGGCGTCATGGTCTGTAGTGATGTTTTCCACAAATACTGAATCTGCTCCCCACTGATGACCACTGATCTTCGTTTACCCAAAATGTTGATTGGCTAATGTTGGTGACTAAAGTGTGTTTCTTTAGTTTTGCGCTGGAGCTACAAGGCTAATGTAGCTTTCAAGTAAAGAAAGCTTATACCTTATCAGTTAGCATTAGCATCAGACTGAATGCTTTAAACTATGCTAAGTTGCTAAGTAAGCCCAAATAGGCTTGCTTTTGTGTTCTGTAGCACTCTATGACACAAACAGTAGCAGCAGCTAGCTTAAAGCATGATATTCCTGTTTTTTAATAGACAGATAAACAGAAGTCATACATGGCTGAGGCAGGTGAGTGATGATTTAGGCATAGAGTCTGCATGAAGCTAATTAGCTGAGTATAAGCTTCCATTACTTGTTAACTACATTAGCATCGCAGCTCCAGGCAAAAACTAAAGAAGCAAACCCAACATTTAAACACCAAATATCTTGGCTGACTCTCTGTATTTGAAATAAGGGGAAATCAGATTTTTTGCTGAGCTTAAACCTTTAACCAGGATACGGTTTGAACTGTTTTAAGGTGTGAGTTGTGCAGCTTGGAACTAAACATGCACTCATGCCAGCGGCTGGGCGTGCCGGTCGGGACGTCTTGGTCTGTATCACCACTGTAGACGATTTCCACAAATACTGAATCTATTCTCCACTGATGACCACTTCTCTTCATTTACCCAAAATGTTGATTGTTGATTGGAAGGTTTGAACTGTTTAAAGGTGTGAGTTGTGCAGCTTAGAGCGCAGACCCCATTATGAGTGTGTGGCTGTGCCCATGTGTTCTCTGTTTAGTTTATTTATCCTTTGCCAGGCTCTGATTAATGTGTTAGCCTCTTAATGAAAGTGCTGGAGCACTAATTAGACATGACTGGACAGGATAATATCAGTGAACCGCATCTTCGCTGCTTCACGCAGAACATGTTGGAATCCGACATTATTACAGGGTTGGCGTTCTCATTAATGCGGTATTGTGGAGTCTGTCTGTGTGCTGTGATTCTGAGATTAGGTCTGATATTTTGTGATAGCATGAGCTGAGTGCAAACATTTGATTGGTTATGTTAACATTTAGTGTTTTTAACTTTGATGTAATCCATACCAGGGTTTATTTTTTTTTGTATTTTATTGTTTCTTTTTATGTCCATTCAAGACATTTGTATGATTTTATTTACCTAAAATAGCCATAATTCATTTTCACATGACCATTTCCCAACCTCTTTTTATCCCTTAGAATTTTTGTTACTGTGCCTTTAAGACTGAAGTATGTAAATGAAATATGTAAATTAACGGCCCTGTTTTGTGACCCATTCAAAAAGCAGTCTGGCCTGATACACTCCTTATAGCTTCAGTATGGGTGGGGCTAAACTGCTGTAAGCTGAATAGGTGGAAATATGTAAATGTGCTGGGATTTGTGACATAGCAAAAACAGTTCATTCTAAATGGGCTGTTTTTGCAGTTTAGTTCCCATATGAACTGTATGAGCTGGGGAGTACATGATATGTTAGATAGAAACTTGAGGACATTTCAGTTTTCTATGATATGGACGCTTTAAGTAAATAAAATGTATTTCCACCACTGCCATGTAGTCAACAATCAGTCAGCAATATTTTTGTTAGCAAAGCATGTTTTGTTTTGGATGTGTGATATGAAATGAGTTTGGACAATGCTCTGTAGGTCTACATGCATTACAAATGAATGTAAAAATAAAATAAATCAATAAAAGTAATGTAATAAGCCAACACATTTCCATGTTCTTTATTTGAGAATATGCAGTGATGTTTGGGCTTGCTTGATACATCAAGTGATAAAAAATGTAATTGTTTTTGCGCAACATCAAAACCAGTTTATGACCAGAATTTTACCCATTTGTCCATCAAACCAAATCATTTCTGGACACATTGACTGGCACCACAATTTTCTCAGGCAAACTCTGATCAGTATTGATATAAAGTTTCTCTCTCTCTCTCTCTCCCTCTATCTGCAGGTGGAGAGGGAAATAGCCATTCTGAAGCTCATAGAACATCCTCATGTATTGAAGTTGCACGACGTCTATGAAAACAAGAAATATTTGTAAGTATACTTGTGTCTTATGTGTGCACGTGTGTCAGTTAGGAAGCCTCCTTATTGATGATGTTGATGTCTGTGAAATTAAAAATACATATTTGTCATGTAATATAATTATCATGCATGTTGTGTTGCAAGTATTAAAGTATTAAAGTAAAGCTCTTATTTCATTGTGAGGCTTTGTTTGGAATCAAAAGGGTTACATTCTTAAAATGCCCACAGAAAATGGTCCAGTCAGGGTTTTTTCTCCATGGTATGTAGGTAGATACAGTGAAGCAATCTCTCCTATTGGTTAGGACTTCAGGAGCTGAACTGAAGGCCTTAAATAACTCTCAACTCAATACTGACTTGTCCTTAAATGGCTTCCAACTTGACTCTGTTCACCCTTTAATGACTCACAACCCGACTAGGACTCGCTCTTAAATGACTCACCATTCAACTCGGACTCGCTCTTAAATGACTCGCCATTCGACTCGGACTCGCTCTTAAATGAGTTGCATTTCAATTCAGACTCGCCCTTAAGTGACTCACCACTCGACATGGACTCACCCTTAAATGACTCGCAACTGGACTCAGACTCACCCTTAAATAACTCACAGCTTGACCCAGATTCACCCTTAAATGACAGTTCGATTTGGATGTACCTTTAAATGACTTTCGGCTTGACTCTACTATTAAATGACTTGCAATTCAACTCGGACTTGCCATTAAATGATCCGCATCTCGACTCAGACTCACTCTGAAATGATTCACAACTCAACTTTGATTCACCCTTAAAAGACTTACAAGTCAACTCAGACTCACCTTTATATCAGATTAACTACTAACATAATCATGAACTGGCAGAGGAATCAACAAATCTCATTTTGATTTACAGTGGGTGGGACCAGTTTAGTGAGAAGAACATCACTGACTTTGAATACGAGTCACAGTCTGACCAGATTATAGTCAGTTGTTAGGAATGGAAAACAGCAGCAGCTCTATGCTGCGACTCCTTACAGAAAGAGTCACTGTAAAACTGTTACAAGCTAAAAAATATGTTAATATGTTACAATCTTCAATTAAAACATATGGAGTGTCTTTCACAAGCTATAAATGTGTGGGTTTCATCTAGAACAGCCAAAAAATGTTCACGTGGATTGCTGTTATCTTAGCGCTAACATACAACTAGAATCCCATAGGGGCACTAGAAGAAATTAGCATTATCGTGGCAATGTTTGTTTCTCTGTTTGTGACCGAATTTAGACGTTTGTGTCCAAACCTGTGGACTCAGCACTAACAGTCATGGTTCACCACAAGTGTATATGTAGGATTTTATGATACAGGCTGTGCTGCTCATATTGCAGGACACTCTCTGCTCCCCCCCCCTCCTCTGCCATCCATGCTCTAGAGGCTGAGCCTAATGTAGTTTTCAATAATTGATAAAAGCGCGACCGAGGAAGCTGCCAAGGAATTTGTTTTCTTAATATTCTGATGACACAGATGGATAGTGCATGCAGCCGTAAAGTGTTTGCCTGTAAATGCTTCTACACTCGCAAATCAAGTAGGAATCCATCCCTAATTTAAACGGCCCTGACAGGTAATCGCATGAGAAAATCCTTTAATCGGCTAATAAATCAGACCCTCTGTGTGTGTGTCTGTCTGTGTGTCTCTTCTGTGTGCAGCTGTGTGTGACGGGGCATGTGTGTCAGTGTGTGACTTCTTTGTGAATATGAGGACAGTGTACATGTTTGCCTGTGACAGAGAGAAGAAGACACAAGCACATCAGACTCGAGTCGCATGTCGAGCTTTTTGCAACTGGACTCAGACTCGCAGCTAGACTTGAACTTAAATGACTCGCAGCTGGACTCTGACTCACTCTTAAATGACTCACAACTCATCTCAGACTCACTATTAAAATATGTGACCTTAAATGGCTTTCAACTTGACTCTGTTCACCATTAAATGACTCGCAACTCAATTAGGACTCACAACTCAACTCAGACTCACCCTTAAAATACCTGCAACTCAACTGGGACTTGCCCTTAAATGACTCGCCACTCGACTCAGACTCATCCCTTAAATATCTCTCAACTTGGACTTTGGACTTGACCTTAAATGACTTCCAACTTGACTCTATTCACCCTTAAATGACTCACAACTCAACTGGGACTTGCCCTTAAATGAGTTGCAATTCAACTCAGACTCACCCTCCAATAACTTGCCACTCGACATGGACTCACCCTTAAATGACTCACAACTCGATCTGGATGTACCTTTAAGTGACTTTCAGCTTGATTCTACTATTAAATGACTTACAGCTCGACTCAGACTCACCAGTGAATGATTTGCATCTCAACTCAGACTTGCTCTCAAATGACTCTTAATTCAACACAGACTTGACACTAAATAGCTTGCAACTTGACTTGAACTCTTAAATGACTTGCAACTCATCTCAGACTCACCCTTAAAATACTCGCAACTCATCTCAGACTCACCCTTAAAATACTCGTAGCTCAACTCAGACTCGCCCTTAAAAATGACTCCTCTAGTCCTTCATCTGTGGTTAGTTTCCGACCACAGGACGCGGTGGGCTGGATATTTTTGCTTGGCAGGTCGATTAATGAAACCGTGAGACCACTGATGATTAGGCTAAAGGGGGGATTAACAAATTATACAGAGAAAAAGATGAAATGCAATCTTTAATTGCAGAACTAAAAAGCGCCTCTGTCTTAAGCTGGCCTAATAAAGTGGTCAGTAAAAGTGTACTGCTGTTGTCATAAGAAATCGACGACAAAATGGTAATGGGGAGGAGAAATTTCTAGGTTGAATATATGTGAGTGTAATAATATTTTATTTCAAATTATTTTGGGTGATCTCTATTTGTATTCATCATGGGAACGACAAGCAATGTAAAGGGCAGCATTTCAAATAGTGTAAAAAACAACACTCACTCACACAAACAAAGCAAAAAGGAGTTGAATGTGATTATAAGTGAGTTACTAGTGCTGAGAAAAGGTGCAATTTTCTCTGACCTTCACTCAGAACCTCACTTACTTCTGCCTACCTTCAGGCATATTTTTTTGTTTTTTTTTTTCCTTTTCTTTAAGTATACATGCCCTCAAATACTCCAGATGGAACTGTGAAAAGGTTGAAGATGAGTGAAAAAGACTTTGACACATCAAGCACCTCTAGTGCTTTTGTCTGTTTGATGAGCGGAAATCGACTGTTCTGTTTTTGTGCTTTGTTTCTGGCAGATATTTGGTTCTAGAGCACGTGTCAGGTGGTGAGCTGTTTGATTATCTGGTAAAGAAGGGCAGGTTAACACCCAAAGAAGCCCGAAAGTTCTTCAGACAGATCATCTCCGCACTGGACTTCTGCCACAGTCATTCAATATGGTGAGTTCAGTTCTCATGTATTAATCACTGTAACATAAAACCCTCTATTGCTCTCAGTTCATATTCAAGATTCAAGATTCTTTATTGCCATACATTAGTATTAGTGGTACTCACTCTATTATTATTATTATTATTATTATTGACTGCTGTCAAGTTGATTCTGACTCTTGTTGACCATATGGACAGTGTTTCTCCAGAATATCCTGCCTTCTGTTTGGGTCTTCAGGCTTCTGAATGTCTTGCTCAGAATTCCTCTGATTGTTTCCATCCATCTTGTAGTTGGCCGTCTCCTCTTTTATCTTTAGCTGTTACAAGCATAATGATTTTTCCAGTGAACCAGTTCTTCTCAGAATATGCCCAAAATAAAAGCTTCAGTTTGGTTATCTGGGCTTCGAGTGAGGATGAAGCTTGATTTGGTCAAAGATCCATTTGTTTGTTTTCTTTGCCGTCAAAGGTTCTCTTAAAAGTCTTCACCAACACCAAAGTTCAAAGGCATCTCACTTGTTTATTGTCCAGCTTTCATGTCCATAAGAGGTGAAACCACCAAGAAGACCACAGCCTGGACAATTCTGATCTTTGGTAGAGACAGATCTTTTCGAGCTCCTTCATTCTTGTTCTGCCGAGTGCCAGTCTGTGTTGCATTTCTTCAGTGTTGAAACCTTTGTTGGTAATAATTGATTACAATAAGCCAAGGCTGTCCACCATTTCCACATCTTCTCCATCAATGGTAAAGTTTGCAATCTTTCTTCTTGTCATAAGCTCAGTCTTCTTCATATTGAGTTGAAGTCCCACCTTTTCACTGTTCTTTAACCTTATAAGGGCCTTCAGGTCTTCCAGATTTTATATGCTTTCCAAGTCTTCTTGAGGTAACATCCATGAATGATGGTAAAAACTCATTTACCACAGGTTTACATGTCATTCATTTTTTTATTTTTTAAATGCAAAACACAGCAAGACCCCAGTATTCCCACCCATGGACATAACTGACCTTTTTTATAATTTGGAGAATTATTATTATTTTTATTGTATCTGAAATAGATGAGATTGTTATAGAAATGTGGCTGTTGAGCTGTGCTGGTTAAACACACTCAGGGGATCCACTGTGCCATTGTGGCAGGCAGATACCATGCCTGCACAAAAATCATTTTAGAACATCCTCAGACCACAGCATCAGGCCAGTGCTTAAATCCCATATAAGAAGAGTTCACATGAGCTTCATTTATAAGATAATTTTGCTTAATCTTGTACTGATGTGATTAGAAAAATTTTGATAATTAAAATATCTGAAAACAGAAGAGCAGTTTGTTTATGAAGCTAAACACAGTAGCACACTTCACTGGCAAGTTCAAACAGCCTCAGCAACCTAGCCAGGGTTGCCAGATTAGACAGAATACCCCAGAATAGTATTCATGCCACAATAAGTGTTTATCAGTGATAAGTGACCAGTGATAAGATCAGTGTTTTCCTTTTACTTTGTAGTCATTTTAAGTAGTACCAATAATAATAATAATAATAATAATAATAATACTAATAATACAAATTTTAAAAGTTTCCATTTAATCGTTAAAGTTAAACCCCTAACTTGAACTTCCCTTACTCTTATACAGTATTTGAATATTCAAGATTATATTAGATGGAATATTCACAAATGAAAATTTTTTATAGATGCAGCCAAAATATCTTCAGAAATCACATATATGTGTATTTTTCACACATTAGCAGAAGCCAAATTGTTGGAAACCATGCTTTAATGTGTTTTAGCTCTGTTTTATTTACTTTAGTACACGTTGAAATCCTGAGGAAGTTCATATTAAAGTTTTCCGAAAGACTCTTTTTCCTGTTTTTCATGCGTCAAAGATCTGATTGTGACACATTTATTACCGCACTTATGGTAACATCAGTTATGTATGATGAAGGCCTCCCGAAGTGATGCCTTACTCAGTCATTATGAGGCATTGTTGCAAATACCAAATATCACCCCGGCGAGGCATCATTATGTTGCCCCTCTCTGGCAGGTGGGAGACAGATAGCTCCCCCTTTTTCGGGATGACACATGAAAGTGCAGTTTCTATCACGGAATGTGTCCTCGAGCCGCTCTCGTCTCTCTGGCTCTGAGATATTGCAGAGAGAAAACACGTTGAAATTCTCTCCATCTGCTGTCTCTCTGCAGAGCTCCGAGCCCACAGGGCTTCAATTAGCTGCACAACAGGAGGAAATAATCAGGGAGAAACTGAGCCTTCCACCACAGAGCTACAAATGTTTTATCACGTTATCTATTAAGATGTTATTGCGCGGCTTTCGCTGTCAGATGTTCAAAGAGCAGAGGTTCTTGAAATGTGGTTCTTTTGGACTGAATTTTTGTGTTCTGCTGAAATACTAATCACTAAAATGCTAATAAAATGCTAATATTAATCAATATAAAAACAGAAATTCGGAGTTCGCTCCGATGCCATTAATGTTTCTATTTGAGCGACTTTCCTTCATACCTCATTCATTCACTCTTCCCTCTTCATGTGTTAATATGCTAATGTATTGAAAGCACAGCCATTAGCACAACATTTGCATCTGTTTACCATTCGCCCCGGTCTAATGAAGACCGCTCCATGCTTCGAGCCCCCTCTGTACTGAGCTGATGGATGGGTTGAAGGCCTCCTCGCATAGGTGATGGAAATGACTGAATAAATAGCATTGTGGGATGCTCCTTTTCTCGGGGCCTTCTGCTGCTCTCCCACAGTCTTTACCCTCTCCACAGCCCGAGAGCACTCGCTAATGTGCCGTGTTGTTAGCTGTCCACCATCATTGCATCCACAGGCTAAATTATGGTGTTTTTTATTTTCTTTTTTTTTTTCAGCTCCAGCCTGAGCGCTGGCAGTAGAGCCGAGGGAGACTCTGGGTTTGGCTGTCAAACTGATAGGAAGCAAGCCTGTCAGGTTCACTTCCTTTTTATCCCTGACTGCTGTCAGGTTTCACCTGACACAAGGAGCGAGAGTGAGAGAGGTAGAGGGAGAGAGAGAGAGAGGGAGAGAGAGAGAGTAAAACGTATAGTCCTAACCTAGTTGACTCTGCCTAGAGAAATGCTGTGACTCTTCGTCAATCACAAGTTCGGAACTGACACAGCAGGAAATGGATTCCTAAACTTTGTGGAATATACAAACTTGGGAAAGCCATGACCGTGCAGAATGACAGAAATACGCTCCGGGCGGCAGTGTGGAGCTGGAGGTGCACCATCAGGGTTACATGTTCTGCATGCATCTACATTTTAAGTGCGTAACTATGCCTGACTGGGTATTTTTTTTATGAAACAAATAAACAAAACAAGAAACATACAAAAGCAAACCATCTTTACACACCTTTACAACCTCACAAACACATGACACATAAATAAACTAGGTCAGTTAACGTTAACTTGTTAATAACGCAGCAGTAACATATTAATAACATGTTAACGTGATAAATTGTTTGAAATTATTACCAATGTTTTATCATGTTATCTATTGAGATGTTACTGCATGGCTTTTGCAGTCAAACAGTCAAAGAACCCAGCAAGGTTCTTAAAATGTGGTTAATTTGGACAATTTGTTTGTGCTCTGCTAAAATGCTAACTGCTAATGTGCTAATAAAAGGTTAATGTTAATCAAAAAAAAAAGAACCTGGGGTCATCTTTGACTTCATTAACATTCCTATTCAAAATACTTTTCTTCATATTTCATTTTTTTCATGTAAAATTATTAACACCACTATTTTTTTTATGCTGGTTATGTGTTTTCCTAGTTTTCCCAATAATAATAGTGCAGGCTGAAGCCCTACTGCTCAAGCACTGTACTTTGCTATGATAGAATCCACAACCTATTTGGAAAATCTGGGAAACGCTGGAAGTTAAACTCATACAAAGGGCCCAGAGGACCAACAAGGATCTATGACCCTAAAAGACTTAAAATGTGGACACCGAGGACAAATAATAAGTGCAGGTTGTTAATAAACAAACCGTAAACACATCTTACAGGTGCATTTACATTTGCAGTTTATGTTGCTTTAGAAAAAAGAAATTACAAAGCCACAAACCATTTAGTAAATAAATTAACTAGGACTGTTAACATTAACTTGTTAATTACACAGTAGTAATACATTTATTAATGTTATTAACATTTTAACTAATTTTTTAACACCATTAACACATTTTCCCATTTTGACCCTCCAGCTCATCCTGAGTAGTGCACTCTGAAACCCAGCTGCAGCACACTATTTGTTTCAGTGAAAGAATCCATAGTCCTTTCATTCAAAAACAGCTTTTAAATGCTTTTTAAAGTGATACCTTCTGAACAATTTTAGCGATTTTTTGCAAATAAAACACACAAAATAATGTAATTAATCACAATTTTATGACAAATTAATGTGATTAATCATGATAGAATACTTCAGTCATTTGAGAGCCCTAAAATGAACGTTTGCCAAATATTTGGTGGAAATAATAAATTAATTATTAGAGCAGTCACAGTCACATCTTTAATAAAGTATTTTGGAGTCTTTAAAAGGATGCCCATTTTTTGGTTCAGTTAAGTCTGTTTTTATTCTTTGGCCTTGTACAGCAGCTAAATATTTGTTAGATTACTTCATTACTAATAGACTTGATAGTGACAGTACTGTTTCTGAAATAATGCCCACTGTATGTGGGGTGGGCTTCCAATGCCATAAGATAAGCGTCTCATAGACAGTAAATCGTACATGTCCTCTATAAGCTCCGTACAAGGTCAGCCAAAGTCACTTATTTGTGCTTAACTATTCCAATACTCACCATTTTATTGTCTTTTGAAGAGGATTTCTGGGCTCGGCTGTTATCCTTTAGAAGCAGGCCTGTTTGATTGCAGGTTTGAGATTGCTCCTTTTTGCTCCTTATGACAGAGGCCCCAGGGTGTAATAGCAGCCTTTGCTGACAGAGAGCTTGTCCTCTCCTCAAGGAGAGCCTGGTTGTGTTTATTGGTTCTGAGTGTTACTGCTGGTCA